TGTTTTTGGATCCGATTTTGCGTGCGATAACAGAGGCAACAGCTGAATGAGTGTCTTACTTTGAAATGTTCAGGATAGCCTCACTTTTCCTGTGTCTGAATTCCTGCCTCACTGGATCTGGTCTTTGGAAATAAAACGTTTTATTCCACTGTCTGTGAAACGGACTGAATCCTATCTCTGATGCTCGACAGGGGATAGGCTTCCACCATGCCATAGCACCTTGAATTATCGCTTCAACTAGAACGTCATCTATTTATAATAATAAGCAAAACACATGCATCCAGTGAGTTTTGGGGGTAAGACACAAAGCAGTTCCAGAACATCAATCTAACACCATGTTTGACTGAATGTCCCTGTTATATATATTTCTTTTTTTTATTAATTTAGTGTAATCTAGTGAATTACATTACATTTCTAATTGTTTCACTAGTTTTGTCATTAAATAATCAAATAAGTAAAAAAAAGACCTTCTTTCTGTCTGATACTGAATTGCTGTCTAGCATATTCACCAACAAAAATCTAGAAAGAATCAAAGATTCTAAAAATAGAATTACAATAGTGTCCCAAAACACGTGAATATTTCTCTGATGATTGAACTTAACAGGCAAAAAAACACTCAACACTGCTGATTGACCTCCAAGGTAGAATTACAAACATTTAAATATGCTCATTTCAGTTTATACAACAAAAGCACATGAAAATAATCTAATGGGATATTAAAATGCAGAGAAAAGGGGCGGAGTCTAATTCTTCTAGTATTCTGGAAGCAAAGATTGTCTAATGTTGTCTCTCCTCCTCAGATATAAGAATCAAAAAGAGCCATCTACATAGTGATGTTGGCCTGTGCTTTATAGTGGAGGGCGGTGTGAGTGGTTAAAAGGGAGGGGGGTCGGGGGAAGGTGTTAAAGATTCACAGGCCATCCAGTGAAAACTGGTTAAAACGATCGATTCTAGGATAAAAAGGAGACAACTAGCACCGGCCAATAGAGAGGGAGCTAATGACACAATCCACACCTGCAGCCCTCACCGAGCCCTTTCTTTATCCCTCCACCAATAACAACAGATGTGGACGAGTGACCCCCACCAGCACCCCCAAGGTCTCTCTACTTTTTCTCTCTTGTGGGACCCTCCCACCCACCTTTACAGTCCAGGAGGAAACAGTGATTGAGAAAAAGACTCCAAAAACACAAGGATCTAAGGAGGAGACTTTGGGGGTGGGGTCAGGGTGATGGTGGGGTTGGGGTCTTAGATTTGACTGTTTAACACAAAAGAGGCTGGAATGCAAAGAGTTAATCCGTTTGGGGGTCTCTCTTCCGCAAACAAAGGGACGGGCCTTCAGACAAAGGTTGAGGGAGGAGAAGCGGTGGGTGAGGGATGTGGGAGGTTGGTGGCTTTTCTGCCATCTGGAGCTTTTGTTTTGAGGGATGCTGAAGGTTGGAGGGGGGGTGAGCGGGTGGCACAGGGGCGGAGAGAGGGCTCCGCCTCCTTTCCCCCTTAAGCAGCCAGCCTCCACCTCCCCAGACTCCACGCACACCCAGGACAGAGTCTGGTCCACGTGCTCTGTGGCCCAGACAGACGCCCCTCAGCTAGGTCGTCCTCCACCAGAGTCTGCCCTCTGTAGCTGAGATAACCATCAGCCTATTCTCCCTCCACTCCCAGGCCAATGTCATCTCCCACACCATGAAACATATCAGTACAGTCAGAACACACACTCAGAGAACTTGGCTTCCTCTTCTCGTTTTATACACACACAAAAATGCCTTTACCCTGGTTGGGGCAGACTCCAGAGCAAACTAATGCTGCACTGTGTGTTTGCGAATGTCATTCTGTCAGTATAACTGGTAGCTGTCAGATTGAGAGAAGCCAGGCTCTTTAAGGGCCATTATGAGCCGTGTCAACAGGCTGCACAATCACAACACACACGGGGGCCGGAGAGGATGAATGAATGAAGCCGCATGTCCGGGTTTATTACACAGGGTTGGCCGGGGGGCTTGGGGATGAGCGGGATAGCATGAATGCCAAACAAAGAGGACGCTGTCAAAGCTCTTATCCCCTCTCCTCGGCCCTCGTGCTGCCTGGCTGAGGATTCAACCTCCTTGCCTTGCTGCAAGCCCGATTCTTTGTCTGCACCAGTTCCTGCTCCCTTTTTCTGTCCGGCCGGTTTTCTTATGTTTTAGCCAAAAAGTTGTGTCTCAAACTGTTACAGGCATTGTCTACGTTCTATTTTGTGCTGAGAAATAGTTTGTTGACTGGAAATGGACAATTATCAGCTTGATCACCAGGGACTTATCAGAAGTTTTTTCCGCACCCTCCTTAGAGCTGGCAGGCGTCCCCAAAAACAAAAGAAAAAAATGAAAGAAAAAAACATTCAAATGTACATCAGGTTACTGAGCAGAGATCAAAGGAAGATATTTTTCATATTAAAGAAGTGATGCTGCCATGATCAAATCTAGTGATGCTTATGAAAAAAATAAATAAATAAATAAGCTTAAGTGTTACAGCCAGCTTGAAAGTGCAGATCTCTAAGTCTTATATTTGATTTTGATAGAATTACAAAACCAGAAAAATAACACCACTAATCTAATATGATCAAACATTTATTAAAGTGTATAGGCAGATGCTGCCCTTTTTTCATATACCCATCATCTGTAAGCTGTAAGTCAAACAAAGGTCAACTGCAGGGCATAATTCATATAGAGATGATTACCCCCCACCAAATAGTGATTTTTTTTTTCAATCCATCGTCTACAGCCTCCTATCCTTGCAGGGTACCACAGTGGTTGACAGCTGTGATTGGATGAGAGGCGGGTTGTGCTCTGGACAGGTACAGTAACCAGTCCATCACAGGGCAGTGCAGAAAACAGTAACCATGCACACTTCTACATCTAAGGGCAAATAGAGAGTGATGCTTTTGCACCCAAGTAAAGCCCAAGCAGAAAGAGCCTGGGCATCTTTGGGTCAAATGTGTAAATAAACTAAACAAAGTAAACTGTTCAAATCTTACAAGTGAGACACATATGGCAAACATTTCTCTTTCATTTGAGTTATAATATTTTTTGGCTGATTGCTTTGTCACTTTTTTGGAGATTACCACCACTCATGGAACAAACTAGATTTGAAAATGTTGGCAGCATTTTGGAAATATGGATTCTCTTTTTCATCCACAAAAAATAAAAGTGTAATACTCGGTTATGCTCTGAAAAGAATAAAAATATAAAAACCATAAGATTTCATTAATAAATATATGATGCTAATACGTGTTTAAAACATAAAAGCTGCCATTGGTTTTTGTTTTGTTTTAAAATAGTTAAGCCATTCCCTAAAGAATCATTGAAATTAAATAAATTAAATATTTATGTAGAACCAAAAAAGGATAAAAACTAGAATTTCAGATCAGCATTGAGTATTTTATAAGATTTATTTGAGGAGTCGATAAAAAGACAGTAACCCACATCAGAGGCTTTGTTTTATGACAAAGAGCTTGGGGTTAGAGCTCTGATGATGGAGCAGAAGGTTTCCAGTCATGAAGGGAACACACACCGACAGGGACAGGTGCATGTAAAGCTTCTGTAAACAACAGCAGGCTTTGGTTGACTAACTTGCTCATTCACTCTCTGATGCGATCAGCAGTTACAGCAATCACAGAGCATTGGACACACAAGTCTCTGGAGCCAAAAAAAAAAAAAAAAATTAACTAACAGTCAACCAGATAAACATGCAGTTGTTTTAGGTTTTGTGACAATCGTATGAGTGTGGTCTTACTTTTAGTGCAAATTAATAATAATAAAGCCCCATAATAAATCCATTAAGGGATCATAAAGGGTCAGTGCACTGAGCGTTTGAAGAAGCAAACTCTTTCTTATTTTATCAGATGATGGGCAGCAGTGACAGAGGAGCAGAGAACTTCTGATTTCCAGATATTTCTAGCGTTGCTACCCTGTTTGGGATAGTTTTTAAGTTTGATCCCAGTTTTCCTCCTGATTCCTCAACATTTCTGCTCCCTTGTATCCATTTACTATATTCACTATACTATATTTGTTTTTGTTGTTGTATTGTATGTTATAAGTCATAAAAGCTGTACATTAGAAATGCAGTGGAATCACAACCTTTAGAAGTCTTTAAAAATGATGGGCGGTAATTGTTATTATTTAGCGTGCAGTTTATATAAAATAAAAGAAACAGTATAAGACATGAGTTGCTGCAAAAAGTCTATAGTCTGCATGTGGATGATAGCGGAAGGGGCAGACATAAAAAATCTGTTTTTTTACTGTTCAGAAGATAAAAACAATATACTAATATTGGTTTACTAAATATTTGCAGGTAGAATATGAGGTTGATGTTTCAGGTGGCTCTTCTTGTGGAATCAGTTTCTAGTTTTTGTCCACCATGCAGATGCCCTTTAAAGACGAGCTTAAGGCTTTCCATATTGATAAAGCATTTTATTGCTATCACTGTTGTTATAGGTTATAAATGTGATACAGGCTTAGGATGCTGAAGGATATAATGATTACCTTAAATATAATTTCTTTTTGCTTCACTTTACCTATACATTGGTCCTAAATATAAGTCTTTTTTTTCATTCCATAGAAGAGATGTCAAGTGTGCCTTGTGTTTAGTGTTTCTTTTTTTCTTATAAGGGACAGTTGAAAGGGAGTGGTTCCTCTCCACTGTCATCAAATGCTTGCTTAGGATAAGGGGTTGCCACAAAGCCCGCATTTTAATAATAATTTTGATTAAGGTAAACTGAATCGATCTTATTGAAGTTTGTACAGAAAACAGTTCTGCATGACTGTGTCTTATCTAATTTACCTTGATAAATTATTAGTTGTTAACTTATGCTGCCCAAATTGAATTGCAATGAAACATAGCCTATATATTTTACATATGCCAGGTACTTTACATATGCGAGGCTACCTCTTGGTATAAACATGACTTATTTAAAAACAATCATGTGTGTGTCCAAGTAAAAGAATGAAGAGAACAGATGAATGAACACGTACCACCACCATGAGTGTAAAAATCCTGGCGGTTCCCCCAGTGTGATATTCTTCTCCCATCGGATCTGCAAGAAATAGAAAAAGAAAAAGAACATTCAGGGGAAGAGAAAAAGGAGATGAATGAAAAATTAGATACTGCAGCATGTTTTATTCATAATGTAACCATTTTGCTTAACGTTCCTCCCAACTTTAGGCTGACAGAGCGACTCTCTGGGAGAGGAATAATCGGCCAGGGAGTGATCTATAGCGTAGAGCAGAGGAGTTCGTGGCTAAGAAAGTGTGACTGTCTTGAAGCAGCAGTCCTCTCAGCTGCCCCCTGAAAACCAGCCAAGCTCCTGCCTGTATCTGGACTCTGAGATAAGATCCAACCAGAGATAGCCGACCAACTGTCTGCCATGTACACTACCACTAAACATGACTCTACACACGAACAGCACAGATCCTGAGCTTCTATAAATACAGTCTTGGAGTGTGTGAAGACACCATGACAGGGCTGGGATTTCTCTATTTTTCTATATGTGCTCTGTAACAAAAAACAAGAAGGAAAAAAAACAAAAAAACAGACAGAAGCCCCAAGTTTCCATTAAAGTGTCTATCCTACAGATTTCCCCAGTGCCACTTATAATGATGTGATGTGCGGCGCGTTGTTGTGGGCCTGTTGATTTAATGCTGCTAAAGAGCTGAGTGCTGCACTGTGCAGAAGAGCAGAGTGCGGTGAAGTCCTCCCGGGGACCGGGAGCGCATTGTGTGGATACTATAAACGTGAGTGAGTGCGTGCTGCTCTCGCTAGAGGAGGAGCAGAGGCTAATTAAGGCCAGAGAGGACTGGTGATAGCGCTCTCATTAGATGAGCAGGTGTATCTGTGTGGGACCTGAAGTTTATCTGCAACTATAAAAGTCCCTAATCTATTAAAAAGACATTTGTGTTCGTTCATGTGGGCATTAAACCATATAATTTCTCTTGAAAGACGATGAAAAAAAAAAGGCTGGTTCTTAGTTTCTTGGTAAGCAGTTACATCCTCACATTCTCATTTCACAAAAAAGAGAGTTTATGAAAAGAAGAAATATATTTATCTTGCCTTGATCAATCTACATCTTTTATTTTGGGGCAGTCAAGAGGTTAAACTGCTATTGAGAGGCTAGGAATATATAATACATGTCTTGATGCACAAGCAGCAGATTAATTTTGTCAGCATGTCTGCCCCCTAGTCTTGTATCCACAGTCTCCCTGGCAGCCAACTGCTGTCCTGGCTGATGGGTGGCTATCTCTAGTAAATATGTCTGTACATAAGGATACAACTTTGTATCACATGCCAGCAGATCTAGGTTTAAAAAAAGAACCTATAGTAACATATCCAGCTGAATTTAGAGTGACTACTGTGGAGATCCAGCACTAACCGAGGTACCTTATCAAAGGATAAACAGTAGCAGGAAAATAATTGCTGCAGTTGTTTCTAAGGTGTGCACACAGCTAATGACCCTGCCACCTGTGGGTCTTTACTCAATTGGCTTTATGTGCAGGCTGTTTCCTTAGTTGTTGCCCATGCAACTGTTCATTACGAATCTTGGTAAATAAAATTAACAAATCCTTAAAAATCATTTTAATTAGTGGCTTCTTTTGATGCAAACTGAGTAGTGTAATGGGGATCAAGGCTTACTTGTGCAGTCTGGTCACTGTTTCTGAGCTTTTTTTCAGTTTAGAGCAGCAACTGACCGACTGAGACAAAAAGTTTAGTGTACTATGAGGTCCCTAGAGTAGTCAGTTAAAACATTTCCCAAATTTATCAGAAAGGAGGCCATGCTTCAGTTTTCAGCCTCCCTCCTCTTGAGATGAGTTAACTATCTGGAACATGTAGCATGAATGAAGTCATGTTATTATTAGGTTATAACTCAGATATCTGATTTATTTCCATAGCTGTACTGGTCCTGATGTTTTAGAAAATTGTACATTGTGAAAATGGGCTTGATTCATAAAGGCAGATATATTCTGTCTATTTCTGTAATAAATTCAGGTTAGGCAAAAATCTACTGAACAGCAGAAAGGTATATCCATTTATGGACACCGCTCTTTGATTAAATAAAAACAGTCGATTTCAACCCATTGCTTTACAGGAGGCGAATTGTCCCGCTAAAAAAATTGACTGATCATGACTTTTCTTTTCTCACCTTACATCAATCTTAACTTGCCTTTTTTGGTATGTATGCTATTTATAAATAGTATATTTGGTTGTAGAAAGGAGTTCATGACAGTCTATTAAAAAAACAAAACAAAACAACAGCAGTAATGATATCATTAAAGCAAAAAGATCCTTAGTATCAGAATAGTATCGGGATCTGCAGATATCCAAATTGAATCATCAGGATTGGTTGGACGTGAAAAAAATGTGGATTGGATGAGATCCCTAATTTTCTTATGGCCTAATGCCACCCACTCTATAGAATCAAAACGGATATGAGGTTAAAAACGTATTAGCAAGCACTAAAACACCCGAATTCCATGCAATATTAATACATTAAAAACATTACTAACTAAAATAGCAATCCTCTTCACATCATTTAGGAAGGGTAGAGAGTATCAACGAATGGAGTAGTACAGTTACTGGTTTTTAAATAAATAAATATAAAGATGTAGTTTTAGTAACAAAGTCATATAGGAGCTTACTGTAGTGTTGCAATCATTAAAGGTGGCTCTATCAAAGGGAAAGTCTAAACACCATTTATGCATGTGAGTTTATTTGTTTTGAATTCTGATCTTAACTTGTGTGCCTCTGGTTGCCCGCGAACCCTAAATTTCACCCCTTTCCAGCAATAAAATCGAAATCCCTGGCAGAAGATTCACCTAAGAGCCTTTGGAAATTCTGAAGGCTTTCTGCAGGCCAGCTTTATCTGAAAGCCCTGCTCTATCTATCACAACCTCTAATTTTTAAAAGATTTGTAGGAAAAATATAAAAAAAAACATTTGTCAGAGGTCATAAAAAATGTCATGAAATAATGTCTGCCTGGTTGGTTAAACCAATATTTTCTATCATGTAAATCAAAAAGCATTTTATTCCCATAGTTTTAACATATCTTAATGTATTCTGTCATGTTTGAACCTTTTTTTAAATAATAATATTAAATAATTGAACTTTATTGATCTCACATTGGAGAAATTTACCTCTGCGTTTAACCCATCCCAATAGGGAGCAGTGGGCTGCCACTGTGTGATACCCGGGGTTAAGGGTTAAGGGGATCGAACCGGGTACTTGCAACCTTCTCAGAGTACAACCACACTGCTCTAACCACTAGGCCAACACTTCTGAGAAAATAAAATATATGGCTCATTATTTAACATTCATGTCTGTCTGTTGACATTAGACCAACATGTTCTGTTTTACTTGCAGTTCTTTTATGACTATCTCTACTAATACTTGAGTAATAGGAGTTTGAAGTTGATCATCTATTTTGGGTGTAATGTAGGTCTAGTACACCTAGCAATAATCAGTATATAAGTGTGATTAAGTGGCATATTGCTATTTTAAACTTTTTAATGCAGTTTTGCAGTACAGATTAATTCCATATTCATTCTTTTTAGAGTCTTCATATTGGAATAATTTATTCGTCTGCATAAGAGCCAACTGAGCCAGATAAAGTATGTTGAGAGAAAGAGCTTAATCTTAATCTAGTGTGATTTCAATCAAAAGTTTAGAAAACTTTAATATGTAAAGAAATCAGCAGTGTTGGTTTTTAAAATATTTAGTTTTATGCTTAATCTAAAAATAACTTCTGGCTTAAACGGTCTAAAATATACAGTTAGTTTTTTTTAATCCATTTTGAGTATTTGGAGCCAACATTTCTGTGTTCAAAGAGTTGCGACATCGTTGGTGTCACTCTGACCTGAACTAACAATGATGTGACAGATAAATATGTCCTGGATTAAGGTGGTCAGAGGTTGAATTGCCTTTGCTTTTGCTGTGAATGAGTGCCTTTCATAAAACTGAATGCAACCAGTGTGCAGGAGACGTTTTCAGCTGCAGAAAGTCTGAACACCAAACCATTAGCAGGAAGGATGTCCATTAGGAAAAGGATGCAACACATTAGAGCCCTTACCACTTCTGCAGAGCACAGGCATAATAAGAGGCTAATATGTCCAGTAGACCTTGGGCAAACTGTTAAGATTGCACTAGCCTCAAACAATCATGACTTAACTTGGCATGCATGGGCTTCCCTTATCAAAAATCCAAACAGAACACAAACAACCTGTTCTAACAGAGTATCAGAGTGCTCTAATTACACAGTTTATGATCGCAAATTAAACCTAATGTAGAGGGGTAGTTAATCACTTAAGTAGGCAAACCAATGTTTGCACTGATCTAAACATAGAAACAGGATAAAGTTTACTGTTTACTGTAGGAAAGGTCAACTGTAGGTTATAGAATAATTACTGAACCTGGAAAAACCTACAATGTAAATTCCTCTGACGGTCAGTACAATAGCAGGGGAATCACACTCATCCTTTTTAAACAGGAAGCTTCATTAGGATATCTTACCTCTGACAGGAAGGTCTGTGCGGATTTCTGTGCGCCAACATGCAGTAAATACTCATAGACGTATAAAGCTAACCTGGAAAACAAAGCAGAGGGAAACACTTCTCAGATTCATTCACAATCTTATCTTTTATGTCATCTTAAAACTTCAAGCTCATTCTTGGATTCACATTTCTTTCAATTTAAGAACATAATTAAACTTTTCAACAAAAGCAGTATAAAAAGCTGAACGTTCATGTGAGAAAGGAGCTTAGATAAGCGAGACTTTTACCGTTTGAAGACTGTGTACACTGTTTGGAGGTTTGTGAATGTGTAATATAAGGCTCTACGGCGGAAAGCTAAAGAGCTTTGGTGGCACTGAGCCATATCACTGTGGTTTGAGGGTGTCTGCTGTTGAGGCTGAGACACTGAAAACAAAACGGTGTAGAAGCTAAGGAACACGGGACAGGGTGAGGAGGAATGAGCTCGTACATGATACTCTCACACATTGCTGCATCACTTGTAAAGACGGTTCCGTCACAACAAATCTACATCACAACAGAATATAACAGCCTACATCTCTCAACATCCCAAATTATACAGTAGCCTGTTTCATTTTACTGGTTTGTTTAAATGCTGCTTGTTTTGTTTACATGTATGTAACACTATTTGAAGGATCTGAGCTAAATACAGTATGTGTCAATGCCATTATTGGACAAGGCCCAGTTCAAATAACAGTAAGCAATTCCTCGCAAAAACAACAAAAGCAAACAAGAAATAGCAAGTTGCTTAGCTCACTAAAACAAGACAAGATTTATAAAATACGTAAAAATATGATTGCACAAATTTTCACAAATCACAGACAATGTACTCTTTATAAGCAGGATCCATGTAGTCAGAAAGCAATAAATAATATGGCAGTGAGATTAGAGATGTTCCAATCTGATACGCAGGTCAGATATCGGCTCCAATATTGACTATTTAGCTGGATCGGATATTGGATAAGTAACACCGATCCAATCATTTCTTTTTTTTTATCAACATCGTTCACAGCAATACAGTTGCAGTGATTTTTAGCGAGTTTCAGGCAGGTAAAACCATGTTTACTATATTTCTGATCCTTTCGCTCACATGGCAACTTCATTCATTCAACAGTAGTATTGAATGAATACCCGCTATACGCTGTTTTCTGTTTATAGATATTTTAGCTTGGTCTTTTTTTTCAGTGTAGTTCTGTTTCTTTTACTTTAACTAAATGCATGTGCTCTCTTTCATCCATAATCTGGCATAACACTGCATAAATACCAAAGATTAAAATATCAAAGTTATTTTTTGCTTACTAGTAATTTTGACCATAAAGATCAAAAACCAACAAAAAAAAACTAAATTGTAATTATAACATGTTTCACAATGCAAGCAGAGAAGCGTTATTATTTGGCTTTTTCAAATACAGAAGATGCTGATTCTTTTGGGCCTTGTCTTATTAAATATAAAAATGATGACAATATATGTTAATTGGGGTTAGTAGCAAAGGTATATTCTTAATTTTCTTTACTGTTTTTGAAGTTTTTTTTGTGTCTCTCTATAAATTCACAGCTCTTGTAACAGCTCAACAGAGGCACAGTGGGTGAACAGTGAGAAATTCTAAGAGCAATAACAAAACTTACATGATACCAAACGAGAACTCACTGTGCACCAATCTTCCTGTTTAATAAGTCCACAATAAACCAGAAAATATTCCCACAGCGAGAACTGAGACCTGGTGTGTGCTTGATTTGTTTATAACCGTGAATCTACCATAATATTTTATTCTTTTATCTCCCTAAAATTTGATTAAAAGGCATGCTCATGTATTGATGATTAAGTGAGAGCTCCTGTATGTCATGAGGACATTTTTAGTCATGAGTTAAAAAATGTCAACATGTTTGCTAACAAAACAAGATATATGTCATAATTATAACCAGTGAAATATACAACATCTCATCAGCTAAATAAACTGAAAAAGGCTGTCAGTATTTTTCATTGTCTTATATTGCAACATAAAAACTTTTTCTAAAAAAATGTTCCATAACAAACAAAAAAGGCTTTAGAGCATGTTGTTCATATGATCAAATTTGTAAGTGGTACAAGATAACTGCCTGTGCTGAAGAACAGTACTATTTCAGGCAACATCTATATGCAAGTAAGTCCATTAAATGAGAAGAGGCCGAACTTTAAGTAGCACATGGAAAAAACGTATTAAGGTAAATCTTTAATATTTCTACCTAAAAAAAACGGAAAAGTATTCGTAAAATACATCAATAATCTATGAACCTGAAGCGGTTCTTAATGTTAGATGCATTGGAGACATTTGTTTCTACTGCGTTTACTGTGGTAGAAAAGAAATTCCCTTGGGGGTAATATACCTCAGGAAACAGCCCAGTTAAGGGGTAGTTCTTATGAAATTACCCAGAACCTTCAGACGGGAGCTTAATGGAAGTATTGTGCAAAAGATTTTTGGACTAGGTGAATATCCTCAAGATTATCTTCCTTTTAAACGCCTCAATGGATCATATTTTGTCTCATATGTTGATAAACTTTGATAGATAACATAAAATACAAGGACCCATAATTATTACAATACAGAAGGAATACGGTTTAGAATGGAATAATAAAAAACAAGCCTTTTAAAATAGCTCTATAACAATCCTGGCAGCAAACTGACATATGGTTTAAAAGACGTAGAGAAAAGTAAAAAAATCAGTAATGTTACAGTTAGACCGGGCATACACTGTGCGAAATTTTCAATCGTACGACGAAACCGCATGGATTTAAAGTTCACAGCTCACGATGTTCTCACACTGTGCGGCCCGACACTGATGCGATCTACCTGCTCAGATAACACGTCTGAAAACCACACATTGGACTGAGCGCTGACAGATGGCGCTGGTCAGGCCCGTCAATCTGGAAGAAGAACTCCATTGTTTGCACATGGGCAGTGCTCAAGCTTCTAGTAAATTGTCTTGCAGCTCTGCTTCAACAGCAGGATTTGTCCACAAACACCTTATGACGGCCGACTGAATTTCAAACATGTTCGATTTTTTTTCCCGACCTTCCTGATTGGGAGGAGGTGGTGAGAGGCTGATCGGCCCTCGTTACTCCCCCCGTATACGACATGACGCAGGATGTATGATGAGGCTGAAATTGGCCTGATCGGAAAAAAATCTTGCACAACTGGAGAATCGCCCCAAAAGGATCGTACAGTGTATGTCCGGCTTTGCAGGGTAAATATTCAAGATCAATGTAGGAGGGTCTTTTATTTTTCGTTGATTTTGTTTCGTTTCCTCATTCGGTGGTGCTGAAAAAATTTCCTATTTTACCCACTGAGGCATCGCATCACTTATGTATGGCACTCAAACTCAAGGGTGAAAAAAAGTAATTTATTGCCAAAAAAATATTCTCTTTACAAGTTTCCAGAAAAAAGAAAAACACATTCTATCAACCAGGTGCTTTCTGAGCTCTTCACCAGCGATCACAGTTTCAATGATGCCAAAGATTTGCTGTCTGACCAAACCTTGCTATGTTTTTTATTATGCTGAATAAAATCAAAGCATTGGGACACTGCCAGTTAGGAAGGACATGCAAATTGCACACATTAAGCCCCTTTCAACCCGCTGAATGAAACTTAGATCTGTCTCACCGTGAGGCGTAATCACACAGGGTAATGGTGAAAATTGCAGCTAAGATGAGAAATATCTTAACTGTTCCTTAGACCTACACGCTGGAACAATTTAACTTATAAAAAAATATAATAAAAAATATAATATAAAAAAAAGATTAAAAATTACAATTGTTTTTATTCTTAGTACTTATTTTTAAACACATCTTCAACTTCTTATTTTCAAGCTGTGCTATTTTTCACAATATTTTACCACAATTATGACCCTCAATAAAGTGTATAATTAGCCGTTAATCATACTCATTGTTTTACAGTGTCAAACACCTTAGAGCAACACAAGTTTTTGTCATCCAACAAATAGTATGAAACATTAATAACTTATTTCGGTATTGCAAAGAATATCTTTCACATAGTTGTTAAACATTTATTTTACCATCTGATTCAGGTATTTTTTTAATTCAATAATTTACATCAAATAGGGCAGGGCCATTAATTGCATTTTCAATATAATTGCTATTTACCTAAATGCCATTTTCAAATTGGGATCTGATTGGTCAAATCTACATCCGCTGTACACTATGCGTATCTCCTGTTTGGTACCTTACCAGCTTGTTTTGTTTGTATGACCGCCATTGCGGAAAACGGCTTGTGAAGATGGACCAGCTAGAAGAGCAAGGTGCGTGAGAACACTGGGACCCTTTTTTCACCTGGATCCCTGCTCTTTTTCGCCCTCATGTCCCTACGTTGTCGCACAAACTTGCCCCCACTTCCTCACCGTCTCGGCCGAATCTCAACCCACAGCTAGTTTGTGATTGTCCCTCTTGCGTTGTGGCGTGGAATAACACAGACCACACTTCAATATTGAGCATAAATCAAAAATATCTGCGGCAAGCTCACTGTGACACACTGCTGCGGGGAGTATAACCAGCCCTTAACTGTGGTCTGTCTCTGGTGTTAGGCAAAAATCAAGTCGAATTTTGCTAGATGGCTGACAGCACCCATTGACTGTAACACTAAGGAGCTGAGCAAATCGGAGCAGAGTCCTTCAGAGCTGGACACTGAGTAAATTAAGAGTTAGCCCTCTGTTTTTTTCTGATGCTGCTAACATAAACTATATGAAGCATCACTTCTTTGAGATAAAACGCCTACCTAGATTTAAGTTTATACAGACTAACCAGTACTTTGGTGGTTAATTTTGTTTAATATGGCAGATCACATGCAGCAGACACATAACTAACATAACCCTAACTAACTGACTAACTAACTAACTAACTAACTAACTAACTAACTAACTAACTAACTAACTAACTAACTAACTAACTAACTAACTAACTAACCAACTTACTTACTTACTTACTTACTTTATTTTACATGGAATTAAATTGTTATGTCACCATTCATTTATTAGTAGCATACCAATTATAACTCAAAAATGTAAA